TTGCTATAACTATTCAACAAACCTGAAATTTTTAAGGCCCAAATTGAAGGTTTTTGAGTTGTGCCTAACTTTAATGGAGAACTTTTTCCAATACAACCATTATGTTCGGCTATATCACCAGCTGCGAAGATTAAGTATGATTCACGTTTTTCTGTTTGAAGTGATTGAGATATAGTTATTCTATCTTAATGTTGTAGTTTCTTCAGTTCAGCAACAAATAATTCTTCTATATGCTTCCTTATTTGCTTTTGTCATCCGTTTTAATTGGAAAAAATACACTGATGCCACAATAGTTTGTTTACTAAGAAAGATCAGAGCCAAAATAGGGTTGCAAATAATTTTACTGACGTAAAATGAAGATCAATCATTTTACATCAGAATATTTACAACCCTATTTTGTTTCTGATCTTTTACACATTGTAATAAGACAGAAAAATGGAATCCATGGTTTCTTTAGCTTTAATTTTGGATTATAGGTACTTATTAGCACACCACAATATTTTATATCAATTCATTGTTTTGCGAGCTCTTTTGTCGTAAATCATAGAATTTCGTAGTTCCTTGCTAAAGGTACGATAATTGGTGATTTGGCAGGTGGTGATATCAATTTGGAACTTCAAAATTCCATGGACCATGACACTGAACCCGGAAAACAATATCAATCCAGTACGTTAGATTATCCATTTCCAAGCATTAAAATTTTTTGGGCCCTCTTAAATTAAAGAATTAGAAGGCATTGGTGGAATGTCACTTTGTCCTATGTTTTTTAAGCTTGACCAATGTGAGCAACTTTCATTCATCATTTTATATAACGTTTGATCGGTGATACCAACAAAACTTTTAACGGCAAAAATGTATTTTACATTTTAGAAATAAAAAATATGTTTGGAAAAGTATTTTAAATAAAATATAAAATGCTTTTCTCAAAAAATAGGTATTTTTTATTTTGTATTTGCATTTTAAATGCAAGTATTTCAGATAAATCACACCTCTAGTGTTACCCATACCAACGTAGTTGCATTCATATGCTTATAATTGGAGAATTTTTTAGTCCTACAGTTCCTTTTATGTCATTTTTTAACTTATTTCCCGGTAGAGTATAAATGTTCTTTTTTAAAGTACACAAAAACAAACACCTGTTAGTATTTTTCCATAACGCTAACAGTACAGTTCATTTGAAGTTTCAATCAAGAATTTTAAATTACTATATTCGGGTGTATAAGTAATTGGTTGTAAATACATAACTTCTTCAACTCAACTTATCATAACTATTAAATTTTTGATGTTGGACGTTTATTAACGTACAGATTATAATATTAAAATTTAATATGTGCTATACACCATCGATTATGGGCGCAGTTTGTAGGTAGGTACTAAGAAGTGTTAACAAGAAAAATTTATTTTGTTGACATTTACGTATAAATGTTTTTTGTTCTCGTTGTTTATTACGCTTGTCGCTATCACTTACAAAAATTAAACGCTCCTTAATATATGAATGACAACACCGGTTGTACAAACAAGCGATTTAATGGGTATAGTTATTAGCAGTTAATACAACAGTAATTCTGGGTTATTAAGTCAATAATTTCTTTGGTAATTTTTTACATTAGTTGACATTGGAATTGAGACATGAAGTTTAGTGAGGTAGGTAGTAGTACTCACCAAGTAAAGTAGTGTAGTAGTATTTACTAGAATTTTGTTTATTATTTGTTTAAAAATCAATGTGACTGAGATACAGGCTGTTAGTTTTCTTAATCGGACGAAATTCCGGTAGGTACGGCCCTGGCTTCAGCCTTCCGTCAGCTGTTCCCGCCAAATATCGTTTGTCGTAACATTATTCCAATATATCAGGGCAGGGGCATTAAAAGAAACTCGAGTCTGTCATATATGTACCTAACTAAACAATGACGTCATCAATGCATATTCAGTTGACGAAGGGCTGCAGCCAGGGCCGTACCAACGGGAATTTCCTCCAATTAAGAAAACTTTAGGAGCCTGTATCTCAAGCTACATTGGTTTCCGCATGGAATTAATACTACCACACGATTCTACATGGTAAGTACTACCTACCTGACTAAACTTCATGTTTCAATTCCAATGTCAACTAATGTAAAAATTTAGTAATAATAATTTTTCCATCAATTAAAAATACGTTTTTGATAGAAAATTTGGTGTAAAACACGATGGTTATATTAAAAAGTTGCTTTGAGGTGGAGCAATTGTTTGTTTAAAACTGATTTAAACATTTTAATTGTTTATAACAATAATAATTTTTTTTTCGTGGCGGTCTCACCCCCATAAAAAGTTATAGGGGTTCGAAGTTGATANGACTATCCGCAAAACTAATGAAAAATACATAAAAATATTGAGAAAGTTATATAAAACATTATTTAAATATCTTTATCAATAGAGCAGGTTAGGTTATCGGGTTTTGTTCAAGTGACCACCTTCTTTCGATCCCCCACCTCCTCCCACTTGAAAAAATTTTTTTTATTGATTTTTATTTGAATTATGGTGTATGAAAATTGTCAACATAATCAACTTTCAACTTTTTATGGGGGTGAGATCGCCGCAAATTTTTTATGGAGTTTTACTCAGATGACCACCCTCTTTCGATCCCCCTACCCCCATAACTTTTTATGGGGGTTAGACCGCCACGAATTTCTTATGGTACAGTGGTGGGGGAGACCTCCTCTTTCGATCCCACCCACCCCCACCCCCAAAGGGGACATTTAGTTTTTAGTTCGAATAAAACCGTAGTTATGAATTTTTGAAAGTGACTTCAGACCAAAAATCATTAAATTCTCATATTATCGATCACTACTATTTTCCAAAAAAAAAAAAAATTCGAAGACGTACCTCTTTTTTTTTCGTTATAGAAACCGGTAAATAAAATTTCAGCCAAATCGAAAATATGTCGGTCAGATAGGTAAGCTTCGGTTTGCATTACACACTTACATACATACATAGATACATAAAAGCATCACGACATGGAGAAGAAAGTCACAAATTATCTTTTAATTTAACACTGATTGTATTCGAAACAGATCATACAGGTATTTTGGACAAGGAAACATACATACTTTAAATTACGCATAAGATAAATGATGAAAAATCAATTGGCATCGGCAGCATAAAGCCATTGTCCCGTTCAACACAGCACTGGAGGTGTTGAACTGCTCTGGTGCTTTTAAGTTACTTGCAGTAAGTTATGAACGTATAAAACACCGTGTTCACTATGATACAATGACTTTTAATCGATATTTGAATTCATTGATTCAAAATGTAAACGTAAGTAAAAAACAATTGAGTTTTGAAAATAATATTAAAAGATGGGGCCTAGGTGTGGAAAACACCTATTGTTTCAGGTAGTCCTACAATCTTCATCCGGGATACTTCATCGGATACAACTGCATCACCGAGTTCGATAACGTGGGATATCGCAAGGGCGGCCCCAATTGGGGCGTCGGCCCGCGTAAGTGTCTATCGCATTGTATTGTTATAACTGAGTGTTTTTGTTTATTTCCTTACATGTTGTTTTACATTCATTGCAGCATGCCACTTGGCAAGATGCAACGCTCGAGGGGAACCCACTGGGTGTTATGTAAAGTAGGTAGGAGCTGTAAGGCTATTGGTATATATATATATATATATATATATATATTTGTAATGGGTGATGAGTTAATTAAATAGGTGAAATATATCATCAATCTCTCCTACACGCAGAAATTCACTAAGAAAAATAAAACAATTTTTCGTACCTTGCTGGGAATAAGAATTCTAACTTCTTCATCACCACGACGAGAGCGCTTGTATGGGGCACCCATGTCACCGTCAGCCTCACGCTTCATGGCTAAACTTGCCTGCAAGAAAAAAATAAAATAAGTTACTTTTGTTCAGTTGTACTAAAATTACAGCAATAAATCTCAGGATTAAATTCCCAAAGCAATAAAATGAAATTGTGTTTTGATAGAAACATACATTACCTATTTAATATTAAAAGAGTGTAAGAATATTGCGTGGTTGTTTATCAAACCATCTTCGCGTCTGTGGAAATGCATATGAAGAGACATTTCGACAACTTTTCTTAATATAGTAGTTGGATTTCAATCAACATTAAAGGAGTAAAATAAGCTGGGAATTTAACTATGTTTGCGGTACTTTCATGCTACTTTCCAGGTTATTTATAATATTGCAATAATAGCAAAAGTGCATTTGAAATACACGCCTATAAAGCGCCCAACATATAAATAACTTCTCACAAACGTAGAAATTACCACCAGTTTTACTATATATTGTAAAAAACTTATGTGAAGTGACTATAGCTCAAGTGTTATGATAAATGTGAATTATTCCATTATTTCTACCAACCTATGTTGCCTATGTCTTAATAACTTCCATAAACGCTTCTAACCTTTTTTTCCATCGCGCCCACCGTCTATATTTCGCACCCATATAATGTACCTTATAGGTTTTACCAAAATATGTGGCATAAACAGCCGTATCTTTTGATTGTGTTGATTTAAAAGTTCGATTTTTTGACCATTCCAAGATACTACTGACCTGAGTGTTTGATATAAGTTTCAAATTGATATCCCTACGCGCTCCTGAGAAAAAGAGTATTGACGGACAGACAGACGAACAATAAAGTGGTACTATAAGGTATAAGGGTTCTGTTTTTTTCCTTATGAGGAACGGAACCCTATAATCTATCTATATGGATTTCCGTACCCGAACTGCAATTGTAAATATACCTGTATGAAGTTCAATAAGTTTGGTAAGTACATGATTCATAAAAGAAATATGTATGGTGATGTAACAACAAAA